TCTTTAAAAAAAAAAAAATAGAATTGCACAGTTGAACATAACATTTTGAAAGTTTTAATTTTAAGTTTATTAAAAAGTAGTGGTAGGCAGTAGAACATCACAACTGCTTCTCTCTTTTTTGTAATAATTTAGACTTTTATTAGAGAGTCTTGGTGGACAGAGATAACAGGATCTCATTACCCACTTCATAAAGTTTCTTCTCTCTCTGCACATTGGGGACATGTACAGGTTTGTTACATGGGTATATTGTGTAAGGAAAACGATCTCATCACCCAGGTAGTTAGCATAGTATCCAATAGCTTTTCAACCCTTTCCCCATCCCTGCCTTCATCAGCTCGTAGTCCCCGGTGTCTGTTGCTTCCATCTTTCTGTCCATAAGTACCCAGTGTTTAGCTCCCACTTATAAGTGAGAGCGTGTATTTGGTTTTCTGCTCCTACGTTAATTTGCCTAGGATTTTATGACAAAGTCTCCCTCTGTTAGCCAAGCTGGAGTACACTGACGTAATCTGGGCTCACTGCAACCTTTGCCTCCCAGGTTCAAGCGATTGTCCTGCCTCAGCCTCCTGACTACAGGGACCTGCCACCATGCCTGGCTAATTTTTGTATTTTTTTTTCCCACCCACCCCCTGATTTTTGTATTTTTACAAACATTTTTGTAAAAGAGATGGGAGTTTCACCATGTTGGCCAGGATGGTCTTGATCTCTTGACCTTGTGATCTGCCAACCTCAGCCTCCCAAAGTGCTGGGATTACAGGCGTGAGCCACCGCACCCGGCCAATTGCATTCTTTTTTATGGCTGCTTCTCAGTTTCCAGTTTTCCCTGACTTCTGCTCTGTAGCGTTTAACCCTGATCCTTTTGCTAGAGAAGGACAAATATCTGTTCAGAACCTGATCTCTGCCCTCATGATTTGGTTTCATGTGATCATTATCCATGCACCTTGTAGATGTATATACATTCCTACCCTCCCCCTCAGCACATCATTTCACCTGTCACAGTTGCCTGTGTCCCTGGAGTGCTACACGGTACCTCCTGAAGACAACCTGGCCCTTCTTCAGCTCTACTTCAGGACCCTGGTTACCGGTGCGCTCCGTCCACATTGGTGCCCTGTGCTCTATGCTGTGGCTGTGGCTCATGTCAATAGCTTCATCTTCTCTCAGGACCCACAGAGCTCAGTAAGTTACACCTCCATCTTCAGAGGAAGGAAGGGAGCTAGCAGTTGAGCTCCCTCTGGGCTACCTGGGGGAGAGGTGAGGGCCAGGCAAGGCCAGTGGTGGGTACCAGCCCTAATCTCAGTGCCACATCTCCCTGTTCTGCTTCTAGGATGAGGTAAAGGCTGCCCGCAGGAGTATGCTGCAGAAAACATGGCTGCTGGCAGATGAGGTAGGGTCAGGGCCATTAGGAAGGTGGGCTATTAGAAGATCTTACATGACTAAGACCACAAGATCTCATTACCCACTTCATAAGGTTTCTTTCCTCTCTGCAGGGTCTCCGGCGGCACCTCCTCCACTATAAGCTTCCCAATTCCACGCTCCCAGAGGGCTTTGAGCTCTATCCTCAGTTGCCCCCTCTGCGTCAGCACTACCTCCAAAGACTGACTTCAACAGTGCTCCAAAATGGGGTATCGGAGACCTAGGACAGTTGCTATAGATGTTCTGTATCCAGCCTTTCAACAGATGCCTAGCCAGACAGAGGACATTGTGTCCTAATGGTAGGCAGAAGACCAAGGACCACAAGGCTCGCCTTCCTGGGAGCAGGTTGTTTGAGCTGTTTGGGAGCAGAATGAGCCCTACCATTACGTCCTGATATCTGGGGCTCCTGAAGGTCTGTGCTGGGAGTGAAGAGTGACTTAGCTGTTTAGCCTGTCTTTGGGGACAGGGCAAACTAAATGCATCTCTCCTTACCTACTCCCACCCCCTGCCCCGGGCTGAGGTATATGAACGCTATAGTTGTACATTAAAATAAATGTTTTCTATCTCCTGGAAATCTGATTTGGACTAATTTCACCCATGTTAGTTCAGGGTTCGTATCTGGGGGCGGGTTATCCCAGGTGAGAGCAGGACTGCTTTGAGAGAGATGGGGAAGAATCATAAGCGGGAGGTCAAAACATCTAAAGACAGCAAGAATGTGGGACCAAATATACACACCTCTAGTGCCAAATACTTGGGAGGCTGAGGCAGGATGATCACTTGATTCCAGGAATTCAATTCTAGCCTGGGCAACATAGTGAGACCCCATGTCTCTTTATTTATTTATATATTTATTTCTGAGACAGGGTCTTGGTCTGTGACCCAGGCTAGAGTGCAGTGGTGTGACCATAGCTCATCACCATCTCGACCTCCTAGGCTCAAGCCATTCTTCCACCTCAGCCTCCTGAGTAGCTGGGACCACAGGCAAGTGCCCCCCGTGCCTGGCTAATTTCTTGCATTTGTAGAGATGGGGTTTCACCATGTTCACCAGGTTGGTCTTGAATTCCTGAGTTCAAGCAGTCCACCCACCTCGGCCTCCCAAAGTGCTAAGATTCCAGGCATAAGCCACTATACCTGGCCTATTTTGGTAGTTTTTAGATTGTTCTTTTGTCTGAATTCTAAAACTTAGGATTTCTTAGACTGTCCTTTCCTATGTGGACTTACTGTGTTTGCAAGTAATCAGAGTGAGAGCAGTGTGCCACGGCCTAGCCCTGTCAGTAGGTATAGAGAAAACAATCCTCATAAATGGAGTTGCTGAACACAGAATTATCCAACAGTGTTTTTGTTTTTGAGAAGGAGTCTTGCTCTGTTGCCCAGGCTGGAGTACAGTGGCGCGATCTCAGCTCACCACAATCTTCCCCTCCCAAGTTCAAGCCATTCTCTTGCCTCAGCCTCCAAGTAGCTGGGGATTATAGGTGTGTACCATCATGCCCAGCTAATTTTTGTAATTTTAGTAGAGATGGGTTTTCACCATGTTGGTCAGGCTGGTCTTGAACACCTGAACTTGTGATCCGCTTTCCAAAGTGCTGGGATTACAGGTGTGAGCCACCGTGCCTGGCCTGTTTTTTTTGGAGACAGTCTCACCCTGTAGCCCAAGCCGGAGTGCAGTGGCACAGTCTTGGGTCACTGCAGCCTCTGCCTCCCGGGCTCAAGCAACTCTCATGGGCTCAGCCTCTTGAGTATCTGGGACCACAGGGGTGTGTCACCATGCTCAGCTAATTTTTTGTATTTTTAGTAGAGGTGGGGTTTCACCATATTGCCTAGGGTGGTTTCAAAGTCCTGAGCTCAGGTGATCCGCCCACCTCGGCCTCCCAAAGTGCTGGGATTATGTGAGCCACGGTGCCCAGCCCCAGTATGGTTTATTAAGCAACTGCTGTATCAGCAAATTCCAAGATTCTGAAATTTACGTGACAAAAATCACCTGGAGGGTATTTTAAAACAGGTTACTGGGCCCTACCAACCGCCAGAAGTAAACCCAAGGATCTGCAGTTCTAACAAGTTCCCAGGTGATACTGATACTGGTGTTCAGAACCAACCACAATTTGAGGAGCAGTGCCTTAGAGACTGCAAGGTAAATTCTGTGACCTCATAGTGTGATAGCTAGTGTTAACTAGGGCATAGAGACCAGAGGTTTTACAAGATCACTGTTGTGGCCACACCTTGCTTTACACTGAGACTTTACCAAGTAGCTAACTACTAAAACTTCGCTTTTGAAGTGTTTTATAATAAACATAGGTCTCAGACTTTTAAGTTAGAATTTTCTTTTTTTTTTTTTTTGGAGACGGAGTTTTGCTCTTATTGCCCAGGCTGGGGTGCAATGGCGTGATTTCAGCTCACTGCAACCTCTGCCTCCTGGGTTCAAGCGATTCTCCCGCCTCAGCCTCCAGAGTAGCTGAGATTACAGGCATGCATCACCAGGTGTGGCTATTTTGTGCTTTTAGTAGAGACAGGTTGGTCAGGCTGGTCTCCAACTCCTGACCTCAGAAGATCTGCCCACCTCAGCCTCCCAAAGTGCTGGGATTACAGGTGTGAGCCATCATGCCGGCCCTCAAATTAGGATTTTAAGCAAATGATTGAGGACCCGAGACACAAAACTACCTGAAGGGAGTGGCTCCCACATTTGTAGGGTAACTTGTAGCTTACAGAGCAATTTCCCTTCATATTATTTTGCAAGTGGTAGAGAAACTCTCAGAGCAATTGTGGCCTGTGCTACATCACCCACAGACCAGAGATGCTAGTACTAGTAGTCAAGGTCGATCTATCTAGCTATCTAGCTAGGTATCTATCATCAGTCATCCTTCAGTGCTACTAAAAGCGCTCGGATCTTCTGACCTCTTGTCCAGTCTTTTACCCCATCACAGTGAGAAGTTGTGCACAGGAGTAACACAGGCAACCGAACTACATAAGGCAAACACAGAGATCCAAGTTTCTGGGGGCAGCAGGGAGGTTCAGCCTTGTGGTCACAAGGGCACCACTGAAAGCCACAAGCAATGGCAAGTAATGAGACCTTACTTGGGGCAGTTTAAAGAGTACTTCCTGGCCGGGCGCGGTGGCTCACGCCTGTAATCCCAGCACTTTGGGAGGCCGAGGCCGGCAGAACACGAGGTCAGGAGTTCGAGACCAGCCTGGCCAACATGGTGAAACCCCATCTCTACCAAAAATAGGGAAAAGAAATTAGCTGGGCGTGGTGGTGGGCGCCTCAGGAAGCTACTCAGGAAGCCGAGGCAGGAGACTCGCTTGAACCCGAGAGGCGGAGGCTGCAGTGAGCCGACATCGTGCCACTGCACTCCAGTCTGGGCGACAGAGCAAGACTCTGCCTCAAAAAAAAAAAAAAAAAAAGTACATCCCATGTGTGGTCACGCGTGCCGCACACCCACCACCACCACTACCACAAATGAAGGGCACACTCCACTGATCCTGTCCTCAGGAACCTGGAAGCCCCCACCTGGTGTCCGAGGCGTGGCTCCCGCTTTGAGGGTGGGGCACCTCCTTTCCGGCCTCAAACCTACCCCAGCTCCTGGCTGGCTGCGGCAGATGTGACGATTGAAGACTAGAGCCCTAGGTGGGGACTCCATCAGGCTCCTCCCGGAAGCGTAGGGACCTCGCTGCCCACACGCCCCGCCCTTTCCTCCTCTGGCGTCCTGGGGTCTGAGGTGGGCGTGGTCAGGCCGGCTTTAAGTCCTGGGGAGAGTCTTGCCAGCCGCAGGACATCCCTGTAAGCGGCGGCCCGGGCTGCGGTGGGCAAGGCGAGCTGTCAACTTCAGGTTGACAGGCGTGGCCGAGACCGCAAGGGCTGTTGCGGGGTGAACCCAACGGAGATGGGCCGCTGGGGCCTGCTGCTGGTATGGTTCGGAGCCGCGGGTAAGTGCCGTCTGTTGGTCAGAGGACGGTCCAGCCAGAGGCACCTTCCTAGGCTTGGGGGTGGCCGGTCGCAACAGGCCAGGTGTCAGTGGTTCCTCCAGAGCCCTCGAACTCTCACAGCCAAATTTCTCGGGCCCGTGCTTCTGAAGTGCAGACGGAGAAGCGCCAAGCGCGTGTGAATCCGAGTCTGGATCACGCAGCTTGGGAAGGAGGAACATTCTTTGCGGTCTCAGCGCCGCCTTGGGGCGGGGCCATCAATCTAAGTCGAGGAAAGCACGCGGGAGACTGCAGAACCGAATTCAGTGCGGCCCCCAAGCCATTCACTGGGAAGGGCGCTTGAGGAGAGAAACTGGCGGAGCTATGAGCGAGCACCCGCGGGGCTTCTGCGACAGGCGTCCGGTGGTGGCTTCCAGGCTGAGCGCGCAAGCTGGGCGGGGTGAGGGGTGTGGCCGCGCCCGCAAGGGCTGCTGTTGCGGGGTTCTTTCTTTTATATCCTGTTTCCACCCCAGTTAACATCCTGCGCCCTCTGCTAACACCTTTCAGGCGCCATTCTCTGCTTTAGCCCCGGGTCCCAGGAGCCTTTTCTGCCGTCCTCGCTCCTGCCGCTGTCAAGTCCCAGCCCCCTGGACCGGAAAGTCAGCGGCCCGCGTAGCAGCTTGGAGCCAACCTCCCAGCTGAATTCTCGGGGTGAGCTCCAGGCTCCCTCCTCTTCCGCTCACCATTCCAGACCCCTCTAGCCCAGCCAGGGGCTCGACGATCCTTGCCTCGCTCCTTGCTCCCAGGCACCGAGGAGTCTTGGCTGTTTAATACCTGCGGGGCCAGTGGCAGGCATGGGCCCACACAAACACAATGTGACGGGGCGTACGCGGGGACCAGCGTGGTGGTGACCGTGGGGGCCGCCGGGCATCTGAGAGGCGTGCAGCTGTGGCGCGTGCCGAGCCCCGGCCAGTATCTGTAAGTGCGGGGCGGGGGTAGGGTGGGCAGTGACCTGGGAGTCGGAGGTTTCACCGTCAGGGGAACGAAGGCCACGTGTGCACCGCCTTGCGTCTTGGGGTATTGCGCAGGGAGGTCCACCCAGGCCGACCTTGGGTGCCCCTCAAGGTGGCAGTAGTCGCCACCGAGTTAGACCGTACCTGGAACCTCTTCCACCGAGCGGAAGCCCCCCAGCCAGGGCGGTGCCAAAGGGTGCTTGAGCCTCCCCACATCTCCACGAACCCTCCTGAAATAAGTGTGATATTTAGTTTTTCGGTGTGCAAAATCAGCCTTCCCATCCCGTCAGAGTCTATTGCAGCCTCCAAGTTCCTCAGATAAAAAATTATTCTGGAACCTCCTCTATCGTCACCTTCTGCCAGCAGCGGCCGGCCTGAGCACCGAGGGCTGGGGACTCACCGCCCGCTCTCCGCAGGATCTCAGCCTACGGAGCTGCGGGCGGCAAAGGCGCCAAGAACCACCTGTCGCGGGCGCATGGCGTCTTCGTCTCAGCAATCTTCTCCCTCAGTCTCGGAGAGTCGCTGTACATTCTGGTGGGGCAGCAGGGAGAGGACGCCTGTCCTGGAGTAAGCGCAGCCAGTGGGGATGGGGCGGCTCCGGCGCCGCGGGGTGAGGGCTGCCTGGGGGCCGGGGGGACGAGCCTTCCTCAGTGCCGGGTCACCTGCACAGCGAGGAGAGCCTCCCGCGCCCTGCCGATTCCCGCCCCTGCTGCCCGCAGGGTAGCCCGGAAAGCCAGCTAGTCTGCCTCGGGGAGTCTCGAGCGGTTGAAGAACACGCGGCGACGGATGGGAGCGAAGGGGCCCTGGAGTCGCGGCGCTGGGCAGGAGGTGGCGGGGGTGGCGGGGGCGCCACCTACGTTTTTCGGGTACGTGCTCCCTTCGGCGCTCAGCGTTGGTGTCCCTATCCTCTCCTCAGGGGCGCGCGCGCACGCACTCTATGTCCACCTTTTAGGGTCCCTCTAACCCTGTGCTGGGCTGGGGGGGGGCCTTGCCTTTATCTGGGCCCCCGGGGTGGGAGCCCTTGTCCAGTGCCAGTGCTCCTGGACGGCAGGAGGACGCGTCCTGGAACGCGCCGCTGGCCCCACAGGTGCGCGCCAGCGAGCTGGAACCGCTGCTGGTGGCGGCCGGAGGTGGCGGTCGGGCCTACCTGAGGCCGCCGGACCGAGGCCGGACTCTGGCAGCCCCCGAGAAACTGGAGAACCGCTTGGAGGCGCCCGGGAGCGGCGGGAGAGGCGGGGCGGCAGGTGAGGGCGCGGCCCGCGGGGAGAGGCAGGCGTGTTCCCCGTGTGGCTGCCAACCTTCCTGCTGTCGCTCTGCAGGTGGAGGAGGCGGCTGGACGTCGCGGGCTCCCTCTCTGCAGGCGGGCCGCTCACTGCAGGAGGGGGCGGAGGGCGGCCAGGGCTGCTCCGAGGCTTGGGCGACTCTTGGCTGGGCCGCGGCCGGCGGCTTTGGGGGCGGCGGCGGGGCCTGCACTGCGGGCGGCGGCGGCGGCGGCTACCGGGGTACGTGTAAGTTGGAGAGGGCAGCTGAGCAGGCCCGAAGGTGACGTGATATTAGAACCTCAGCACAGGCTGCAGCCCTCAGGAGGATAGGGGTGGGAGAGGAATTAAGACCCGCTCAGCAGCTCCAGGCAAAGCAGGAGCTCTTAGAAAAGGTCAAATACGCTGCAAATCAGCATGCACACAGGACTCCCTAGATTTCCATTCAGTCCAGGGTATTTCCCATCACAGCAGGTCCCTGCCTTGTTCTGCAGCTGTCCCCAGAACTTAGAGCTGACCAAGTGAGCAAGCTGAGCAGGGAGGCAGAAAGGCAGGCCTGGATTAAGTCAGCGGTTCTCAAAGTGTGGTCCAGGAACCAGTAACATCCATATAGCCTAGGTTGTTCAAAATGCAAATTATCTATCAGCTTGGTGAGGGGGCTCAGCCTGTAATCCCAGCACTTTGGGAGGCTGAGGCAGAAGGATCACCTGAGGTTGGGAGTTTGAAACCAGCCTAACCAACATGGAGAAACCTCATCTCTACTAAAAATACAAAATTAGCCAGGCATGGTGGTGCATGCCTGTAATCCCAGCTACTCGCGAGGCTGAGGCAGGAGAATTGCTTGAACCTGGGAGGTGGAGGTTGTAGTGAGCCGAGATCCCACCATTGCTTTCCATCCTGGGCAACAGAGTGAAACTCTGTCTCAAAAAAAAAAAAAAAGTAAAAAGAAACAAAAGCTGTGTGACTGTGCAGGCTGTACTGTCATATATACACACATCATTCACATTCTCACAGAAAGGGACTGTGAGGACATGGGACATGAGGGGCTCAGGCAGGCAGGAGGCATCTCTGCCAGCCTGAGCTAGGCCTTCAGGCTCCAGCTGATTACCCACTCCTCACCTCCTCCATTCCCACTTGTGAAAAGACAGCACTTGCATCATGATGCTGGAGAAGAGAAGGCCACACTGGGATTTCCACTGGGAGATTCCAGCTTCTCCCCCAGCCCTCATATTTGTAGTCAATTCTCCATCACTCTCTACTTCCAGGGGGTGATGCTTCAGAGACTGACAACCTCTGGGCTGATGGGGAAGATGGAGTATCCTTCATGCACCCCAGCAGCGAGCTCTACCTGCAGCCTCTGGCAGGTATTGGCCCCAACCCCACCTCTCAGCCTGGCCTGGCCTTCTTCCTCAATCCCTGAGTCCACTCCCAGAAGAGCGACCTGCACTGTGAATAACATTGCATAGCACAGGATTCTTGCATATCACAGGGTCATTTGAAAAGGGGGCTGTCAGATCTGTCGGATGCCAGCACAGGGCATGCTGCATGCTTGTCAAGTATCCCCTTGCTGTGAATTTGCTTCAAATACCTGGGAGTGTGCAGGCTTGGCAGAAGTCCCTCAGCCTCCCACCACCCTTGTAAGCTTGGTGCTGCTCTTTGCTCTAAAGTCCTGGGCTAGAATTGACCATGTGGCTGAAAAAGGCATGTCTATTTATTTTTGAGAAACAGTCCCACTCTGTCACCCAGGCTGGAGTGCAATGGTACACTCTCGGGTCACTGCAAACTCTGCCTCCCAGGTTCAAGTGATTTTCCAGAGTAGCTAAGATTGCAGGCATGTGCTACCACACCCGGCTAATTTTTGTATTTTTAGTAGAGAAGGGGTTGGCCAGGCTGGCCTCAAACTCCTGACCTCAGGTAATCAGCCCATCTGGGCCTTCCAAAGTGCAGGGATTTTAGGCGTGTGCCACTGCACTCAGCCCAAAGCATGTATTTAATATATCCCATCCCCATACCCCCCCACCAAACCATACCATATCAGTTCTTTTACTCACAGTCACGGAGAGCCACGGAGAGGTAGAGATCCGAAGGCATCTCAACTGCAGTCACTGCCTTTTGAGAGACTGTCAATGGCAGGCAGAGCTCCAGTTGGCTGAATGCCTGTGCCCAGAGGGCATGGAGCTAGCTGTGGATAACATCACCTGCGTGGGTATGTCCTACCTTTGCCCAAGGTCTGGACTTCTGGGGTCACAGACTGAGAGGGGCAGTAGGCCACTGGGAAAGATGGTATAGAGATGTGCTATGTGCCAGGCACTGTGGTGGGTGCTGGGCAGGGGACTGGAGATTCATCAGTGCACAGTGCCTTTCAGAGGCATATCGTCTAGTGTGGGAGGATGTTTAGATATAGCTATGTAAATGTGTGTCCCAAGTGACGATTGCTGTGGGAGGTATAAAGTGCTTTAGGGGTGTTCAAAGAGGGAGAGGTTGCTTTGGCCTAGGATAATGGGGGAAGGCATCATGGAAAAATAACACTTGAGCTGAGTCTTGGAATATGGGTAAAACTTGAGCGTAAAGGAACAGAGAGGACCTTCCCACTGGAGGTGTCTCTCCTTCTCCCTAGACCTGCGCAACCCCCCAGGCCCTCTGCTTCTGATGGTGGCTGTGGTGGCAACCTCGACACTGAGCCTCCTTATGGTGTGTGGGGTCCTGATTCTGGGTATGAAGCATCTAGCAGGCACAGTTGATTCAAGGCTTCTTTCCAGTGAGCTGGGATGGGCTTCTGAGGGGTCCCGGACTGACCTCAAGACCATTCACCGAAGCAGAGCAGTGGTAGACTCCTCTGGGATTCTAGGATAGGAAGCAGCTGGGGAGGCCCGGGGAAAACGTTACCATAATGAGGGGTGTGGGGGCAGGTGGGGGAGGGAGACCTGATGGGCAGGTGGAGGTTGTGCCATTATTCTTCCCACCACCAGTGAAGCAGAAGTGGCAGAGCCTGTGGGGGATGAGGCTGCCGATCCCTGAGCTTGAGCTGAGCAAGCTTCGAAACTCTGCCATCAGGACAGCCCCTAATCCTTATTACTGCCAGATGGGGCTTGGCCCAGCCCAGACCTGGGCTCTGCCCCCAGGTGTCACCGAGGTTTCCCCAGCCAATGTCACTCTGCTTAGGTGAGTCCTCTGCCTCTTTCTGAGAACCTATGCACTCTGAATCTCCACCCTGCTGTAGTGAATTACGGATACTGGAAAAAAATCTGGCCCACATCCCTTGTGTAGGGGAGAGGGAGGACCTGAGAAGCTCCAGAAGGGGAAGCAACTTGCTCAAGGTCACCTCTCCGTCCCAATTCTTAGAATATGATCTTGTGGCTGGGCGCGGTGTCTTACGCCTGTAATCCCAGCACTTTGGGAGGCTGAGGCAGAATTGCTTGAACCCAGGAGGCGGAGGTTGCAGTGAGCCGAGATCACACCATTGCACTCTAGCCTGGGCAACAGAGTGAGACTCTGTCTCAAATAAATATATATATATGTGTATATATATATATATATATGATTCTTGGAGCCCAGGGATTGCCTCTCTCCCAGGGCGTCTGCAGGGTTACCAGGAAAGGCCTCATCGTGGACTCCCAGCCTGACTCTGATCTGCACCTGCCCTCTTTTTTCCTGGCTCTGTGCCAGTCATCATCACCCTTGCAGGGCTTCTACTTGGGGACATGCATTGGAATGGAGAGGGAGTCTATGGAGGGTCAGCTGGGCATATGGCAGGGGCACGGGAGGCAGAGGAGGTACTAGACTCTCTGGGACTCTTCTCCAGGCCACCTGCCCACTCCCTGCCAACCTGTCTTCCTGCAGAGCCCTGGGCCATGGTGCCTTTGGGGAGGTGTATGAGGGACTGGTAACTGGCCTTCCTGGGGACTCCAGTCCCCTGCAGGTGGCTATCAAGGTGAGAGGAGTGGTACTTCTGGCTGGGGGTAGGAGAGCTGGGCACCCTGAAGGGAAGGACAGTGACTAGAGCTAGGCTTAACCCTCCTGAAGTGTCCAGGGCAGCTCAGAGCTGTGCCTTTTCCTCCCCAGACCCTGCCAGAACTCTGCTCTCCTCAGGATGAGCTGGATTTCCTCATGGAGGCACTTATCATCAGGTGCACCTGGGGCCTGGGCAGGGCTGGAAGGCGGGGGCTGGAAGGGAAGGCCCAGGAAATAGCCTCTCCCCACCCTGAGGCTGAGGTAGCAAGGCAGGGGACACAGATGGCCTCTCCGGCTTTGTGGCGCCTAGAACATGGTTTCCATCTCCCTGCTGGTGATGGCTGGTGACGGGGTGTCGCCACCACCCCACTCAGCAAGTTTAGCCACCAGAACATCGTGCGGTGTGTGGGGCTCACCCTCAGGGCCACCCCTCGCCTCATTCTGCTGGAACTGATGTCTGGAGGGGACCTGAAGAGTTTCCTGAGGCAGAGTCAGCCGCACCTGGTGAGACCCTTTCTCAGCCTCCCAGGCCCCTCTAAAAACCCCGTGGATATGTCTGAGACCTGCATGGACTGATGCCCCCTCTGCCTGACCCAGGGCCAGCCATCACCTCTGGTCATGCGGGACCTGCTGCAACTGGCCCAGGACATAGCCCAGGGCTGCCACTACCTGGAGGAAAATCACTTCATCCACAGGTTAAGAGCAGTCCTGGCTCAGGGGACCCCCATCCCAAGTCCCTCCTCAAGGAACAGCCCTTCCACTCAGCGTTTTTTTTGTTTTGTTTTGTTTTGTTTTGTTTTTGAGATGGAGTCTTGCTCTGTCACCAGGCTGGAGTGCAGTGGCGTAATCTCGGCTCACTGCAACCTCCGCCTCCTGGGTTGAAGCAATTCTTCTGCCTCAGCCTCCCGAGTAGCTGGGACCACAGGCGCATGCCACCACGCCCGGCTAAGTTTTGTATTTTTAGTAGAGACGGGATTTCACCATGGTGGCCAGGATGGTCTTGATCCCTTGACCTCGTTATCTGCCCACCTCAGCCTGCCAAAGTGCTGGGATTATGGGCATGAGCCACCACGCCCTGCCTCCACTCAGCTTTTAAGGAAATAGATCAGGAAGGGCAAGAACTTCTGAATTCTGGCGGTGATTTTTTTTGCCTCCTCTGTAGGGATATTGCTGCCCGGAACTGCCTGCTGAGCTGCACTGGGCCCAGCCGAGTGGCCAAGATTGGGGACTTCGGGATGGCACGAGATATCTACCGGTGCGGAAGTTGGGAAGGCTCTTGCTCCAAGGGGGTTTTGCCTGCACCTTGGTGGTATTTAAACAACTCACTCCCCTTCTTCCTCCTGTAGGGCCAGTTATTACCGAAGGGGGGACCGGGCCTTGCTCCCAGTCAAGTGGATGCCCCCAGAGGCCTTCCTGGAGGGTGTCTTCACATCCAAAACAGATTCCTGGTTGATAACACCCTTCCCCTTCTCTTCCCTTCCCCTCCCCTCCCTCTCTTTTCCCCTTCTCCTCCCCTGAGGCTAATCCAGTCCTTTCCAGCCACCTCAAGTGAGGGGAGGCTGCACTTGACAGGACTCATTTGGTTCCCCCACTTGTGATGCAGGTCTTTTGGGGTGCTGCTCTGGGAGATCTGCTCACTGGGCTACATGCCCTATCCTGGGCGCACCAACCAGGAGGTGCTGGACTTCGTCGTTGCAGGGGGCCGGATGGACCCTCCTAGGGGCTGCCCAGGGCCCGTGTGAGTTGAGTGCTGCCTGGGAAGGGAGGCCTTCACAACCGTGGGTGGCACCAACTCCTGCCTCCCCCCAGGTACCGCATCATGACCCAGTGTTGGCAGCACCAGCCTGAGCTCCGCCCCAGCTTTGCCAGCATCTTGGAGCGTCTTCAGTACTGCACTCAGGTATGCCCCCAACCTAACCTGATCATCCTAGTCTTGGGGGTCGGGGGGGGCGGGGACAGAAAACTCTATACCCCGCTACTCCCTGACTCTTCCATTATAGGACCCGGATGTGCTCAATTCACCCCTGCCGATGGAGCTGGGGCCCACCCCAGAGGAGGAAGGGGCTTCTGGGCTGGGAAACAGGTCTTTGGAGTGCCTAAGACCCCCACAGCCCCAGGAACTGAGTCCAGAGAAGTTGAAAAGCTGGGGAGGTAGCTCTCTTGGCCCCTGGCTGTCCTCTGGCCTCAAGCCCTTCAAATCCAGGGGCCTCCAACCTCAGAGCCTTTGGAATCCCACATATCGCTCCTGAGCCCCAAGGGGCCCTGAGGGTGGGGACTGAAGCATTGAGGGTTCCTCCCTGCACTCCTCAGGCTCCTGGGTGGCCTGTTATGCTAGCAGCCCTTGTCCCTGAAGTCTGTGCTGCTTGTCTGGGCCTGTCTGGGGACTGGCCTGGCAGTACTGCCCTTGCTATGCTGGAAACCAGTCCCAGGCTTCCCAGGGAAGGGCCCACCACTTCCAGCTTTTTATCTCTGGGACCAGAGGCCACCTTATGCACACCCACTATGAGCATTGCCCTCCCACTATGAGCATCCTTTATCTGGGCAGTTCCCTACCCTGCAGTTGCTTCTAATAAAAAGCTGTTATCCTCCAGCAATCTGAGTGGATGCCAGGGATACCGGATCTGAGGAAGAGGTGACCAGAGGAGGGGGAGGGGTGAGGCCTGAGGCACAGGAAGCTGCATCTTGCCTTTGAGTTTTATTAGGAAGGGGAGTCCATTGTAGTGTGAGAGGTTAGACCAGGAGGTCTAGGCTTGCTAAATAAATCCACGGTCTGGCCCCTCTGGAGAGGGCAGAGCCGCCTCAGAAAAGCTGGCCTGAGGAAGAAGCCCTTTGCTCCCTCCCCTCCTGTAAATTAATGTCATTCGGCTCTGGGAACGCTGGGGCCCGGGTGGGTGCAACCCCTGGCATCGGCAGTGCCCACCTCTTAGTGACTGGCACCTGGCCCTGCAGGACCCGGTGAACTGCCCTGCACCAGGGCTCCAGTCTCAAGTGGCATGCACAGTGGGAACAAAGCCGCAGGTCCACATGTCAGGGTGGCGGCCCGAGGGGACAGGAGTCCAGCCTCATCTCTCAGCCAGGCTGGCCAGGATAGCAATGAGATTGTCCAGCCCCAGCAAATAGCCGTCCTCGCGGTTGCCCTCCTCCCAGGGCCGCCTGTGGTCCAGGATCTGGCCATCGGGGAGGGGTGTCGTCTTGCCGAAGTCGATGAGCCACACTCCGGCGCGATGGCAGTGATCGTGCACGAAGAGGAGCGAGCTGCCGATCACCTGTGAGCCCCGCACCACCGTCAGGCCGCGGCCCTGCCCAGAGACGCCCCCGCCGCGTTCCCGCCCTAGCCCTCGCGGCCAGGCACCCGGGCTGCCGCCGCTTACCTCGTGCCTCCTGAAGAACTCAGAGACCTCCAGGGTGTCCCGGATCTGCTGTAGGCGGTTCAGATACCGCCTCTGCAGAGGGTGGGTGGGAAAGGAGGGCAAATTAATTAAACGCCAAATGAGCCTCTGCTAACGAGGAGCCACGGCCCAGATAGGCTCGGTAAATGCAGCTGTGGGGAAGACCCAGGAAGCCGCCCGGGTAGGCTCGGAAGGGAAGGAGCTAGAGCAGGTGCGACCCAGCGTGGTGAGGGCCACAGTGGGGACACAGCTGAAGGCACTGGGCCGGATGACGGGGAGTTCTGGGTTTCAGGCTCCCCAACACCTCAGGGTTTGGGATTTCACTCTCACCAGCACTTCCACATCTCCTTGCACAAAGTCTTCAAAGACGCGAAGCACCTGCTCCCGGCTTCTTGTAGTCTTGAAGTCGGTGCTGCAGGACCCGTCGGCTTTCTGGAGGTGGGACAGGAGTGTCAGAGGCCCGGGCCCGCCAGTGGGGAAGAGGACAGCCTAGGGCAGCGGTACCTCCCAGTTGCAGGGGACAGCGAGACAGAGAGGGCGGAGGAGCAGGCGGAGGGGGCGTCGGGAAGGTGGAGGCCAACAGATCCGGAAGGACATCGCGCGCGGGGGAGGGGGGCTGGAGCGGAGCCAGGCGAAGCAGGCCTGCCCCACCTTGATGCCCTCGATGCGGAAGCCGAGTGTGGTGCTGGAGCTAATGCCTTCCCGCCACTGCATGTAGCGCGGCTTGGTGACGGCGCGCTGCGCGTGCTCCTCCTCAGTGGGCGCCTCAGGGTCCACTGCCAGCATCTTCTTGTACATGTCCTTCCGCAGCTTGGGCCGCTCGCGGGCCTTGGTCAGCTCCTCCTCTAGGTAAGTTCTGTGGGGGCGCAGGCAGCGGCCAGGACGTAAGAGAGCGCACACGGGGACCCCTTCGAGCACTAGCCCCGGGCCGCCCTCGAGTTGTTCCGGCCCGGCCCCCCACTTGATCCCCAATCAACTTGACAGGGCACAAGTACCTGACGCCCATTTTGCAGTCGAGCACGCAGGGCCCGTCGAAGCCATCGAGCAGGTCCTGCAGCTGCAGGTAGCTTTCGCCGTCGCGCTCCACCACGCCGTGGAAGGCAGGCACGCAGCCGCGCAGCGCGTCCGCCATCAGCCTCCCCAGGCAGTAGCGCTCCGGCTCCGAGCAGCGTTTCAGGATCAGCCCGCTGGTGCCCGCTGCCTTAAAACTCCCTGTGAACCAGCATCCGTCAGCGCCGCCCAGCCCCTTCCCGTCACGGGAAACTGCCCACCCGCCCTGCGGCTCACCTGTGTGCCCCGCCAGCTGCACCCAGGCGTAGCGCTTCTTGAAAGGGCTTATGACCGGCAGATTGACCATGGTCCGGATCTTCTGCCAGTGGCTTTTCTAAAATAGACATGGTCAAGGCCTGCAAATCGGCCTCTCGGCAATGCATAAGCCCTCCCTCCTCTGAAGCAGGGTCTCACCACACCCCCGATCCACCTGAAGCACCTGGGGCTGGATGTGTCATTCATTCATTCATTCACTCTGGTAAGGTTTATTGTGCCCCTGTGTGGCAGGCTGATACAGTGCAGTGAAGGTGATTCCAGCGTCTCCAATGAGCTATCAAGAGCTCTGGACTTAGCATCTGAAGACCCCGGTTTGCGCTCCAGCTTTGCCACTGAAGAACGCGTAGGCAGGTTACGGAAATGCTCCGTCAAGGATTTTGAACTGCTGTGAGCATCGAAATTACCTGATGGTCACCCTTGTTAAAAATTGCAGATTAGCCAGAAGTGGTAGCTCACGCCTGTAATCCCAGCACTTTGGGAGGCTAAGGCAGGTGGATCACAAGGTCAGGAGTTCAGGACCAGCCTGGCAAAGATGGTGAAACCCTCTCTACTAAAAATACAAAAGCTAGCTGGGCATGGCGGCAGGCACCTGTAATCCCAGCTACTTGGGAGGCTAAGGCAGGAGAATGGCTTGACCCTCGAGGCAGAGGTTGCATTGAGCCAAGCTCTCACCGCTGCATTCCAGCCGGGGCAACAGAGAGAGATTCTGTCTCAAAAAAAAAAAAAAAAAAAGGCAGATTCTCAGGCCTACTACAGGGAAATTTTAAGTAGGTCTAGAGTGGGGGCAATTTTTTTTTTTTTTAGTAACAGTCTTGCTGTGTCACCTAGGCTGGAGTGCAGTGGCCCGATCTCACCTCACTGCAACCTCCGCCTCTCAGGTTCAAGCGATTCTCTTGTTTCAGCCTCCGGAGTAGCTGAGACCACAGGTGCACACCACCACGCCCAGCTATTTTTTTCTTTTTGTATTTTTAGTAGAGGCAGGATTTCGCCATATTGGTCAGGCTGGTCTCGAACTCCCGACCTCAGGTGATCCATCTGCCTTGGCCTCCCAAAGTGCTGGGATTACAGGCATAAGCCACTGTGCCCAGCCCCCAAAATTTTTATTTCTACCAATGCCTCAAAAGATTCCAGGGCCCAAGAAACAAGCCTCTGTGCACCCATAAGAAAAGGATCTATAAAATGAAGAAATAACTATCCTTACTGGGTTGCTGTGAGTAGTAAGCGAGGGTTAAGGATGATAGTCACCCAGCTCACCAATCCCCTTCCATGGTATGACGCAGAAGATGAACAAATCTCAATCACTGATTCATTCACTCAGGACCTTGGTTCCTCATTTAGGGAGACGGACATACACATAAACAAACCTTTACACAGGCCCAGGGCAGGGAGGCCAGCCTGGCAGGTCCTGCAGAAAGAACAGGCTGGGCTCTCCAAGCTTCTCTTGCTATCCCTGGATTCCATGCACTCATTAGCTGACAAGGCTCAGGGCACCCTTAGTTTTGATCTGGGCCCAGAAACCTAAGCCTTGAAAATAAAGTACAAACCTGAGGGCCTGTCAACTTAGACAAAATTGGGAAGGAGATGAAGGGTTCTTTTGGTGTGTCCCTTATCTTTTTCTGGCCTTCAGCTAAGCCTGAGAGCATCCCATCCTCTGGACCTCTCCTCTTCCCACCCACAACTCAGCAGCCCTGTGTCCTCTCTGAAGTACACAGGTTGGTGGCCAGGTACGGTGGCTCACACCTGTAATTCCAGCACTTTGGGAGGCTGAGGCAGGTGGATCACGAGGTCAGGAGTTCGAGACCAGCCTGGTCAATATGGTGAAACCCCATCTCTACTAAAAATACAAAAAATAAGCCAGGTGTGGGGGCATGTGCCTGTAGTCCCAGCTACTTGGGAGGCTGAAGCAGAAGAATTGCTTGAACGCAGGTGAAAGGGGTTGCAGTGAGCCGAGACTGCACCACTGCACTCCAGCCTAGGTGACAGAAAGAGATTCTGTCTCAAAAATAAATAAAAATTGGGCCGGGCGCGGTGGCTCAAGCCTGTAATCCCAGCACTTTGGGAGGCCGAGGCGGGTGGATCACGAGGTCAAGAGATCGAGACCATCCTGGTCAACAAGGTGAAACCCCGTCTCTACTAAAAATACAAAAATTAGCTGGGCATGATGGTGCATGCCTGTAGTCCCAGCTACTCGGGAGGCTGAGGCCGGAGAATTGCTTGAACCCAGGAGGCGGAGGTTGCGGTGAGCCGAGATCGGGCCATTGCACTCCAGCCTGGGCAACAACAGCAAAACTCCGTCTCAAAAAAAAAAAAAAAAATAAAATAAATAAATAAATAAATAAAAATTTTTAAAAATGAAGTGCACAGGTTGGCTCATGTCAACTATGTCTGCTGCCTTCCCCGAGAGATGCTTGCCTTTTAGCACAGTTACACATGTGTGCCCCCTCAAGAATACACCTCCTTGGCAAGAGGGAGTTCTGAGAGGGAGACGGAGAACTGAGGAGGTGGCCTAAGTGGAGGAGAACTGCTGACCATAAAGCCCTTTCTCACCGGGAGGAGATGGAGGTTGTGACAGAGCACTGGGTGGGGAGTCCTGACTGTATCACCTTCCAGCTGAGTGAACCCAACCAAGTACTGCCATCTGCGTGGGCCTGTTTCCCCTGGGAGGACATAGTTGCTGCCATAACATGAACCATCAAATACTGCCTGCCTATTGCATGTCAGGCTCTTTCTCATCTTTCATCAGGCAGCATTGCTCCCACTTTCTCACTGAAGCCCTTACATGGTACACTAGGGTGTGATCACGTGCCCAATCCCCAGGGATCTGGGGGTGTAGCCAGAAGCAGCCCACTAGAAACATGACATCACTTTCAAAACT